ATTCGTCTCTTCACATTCTCTGTCTAGAGCATCCTCCACTCCCGTCTCGGTTTCTCCGCTCACCCCTTCATCCGCGGCCATAACAATCCATCTCTCCCTAATTAACAGTCGGCGAGGTTACTCCTCAATTTCTGGCCGTAAGTCCTTTCCCTCTTTCACCATTTGGTCTCACCTTGACAGTTCTTCCAAGAGGCCGCTTCTATTCCGCCGCAAGCCCGCAACGGCGGCGTTAAAGGAAAGCGAGTTCATCCTTGCTCTTTGTATGATTCATCTTCGAAACAGAGTTCTCCATAACTTTGCATGTATCCCTTTTCTTTTTCCTCTGGAAAACACACTCGTAGCTCACCACCCACCACAAACTTCCCTTCTCTCTTTCTCCCTCTTCTCCGGCTTATCTAGAGAGCGGTCTAAAGTTCTGTTCTTCTCCTCTCTTTTTTTTATCAATTTCTCCATGCAATAGACAAATTAATCTTTTCTTATCCCAAAGATCTCTTAACAGAACACTTATAATCGAAAACAACACTGTGACAACACTAGTTTGCAGGAGAAGAAGAAAGCATTGTGTTGGCGACCGTCGAGGAGGAGCGGAGAGGAGTAGCGGAGCGACGGAGAGGAGCAGCAGAGCTACGAAGCGGAGTAGGGATCGCTGGTCGCCAGTCAGGTCGGCGGTCGCTGGAGCGGAGCAAAGCAGGGATTGCGGCGGGTCGCTGGTCACGGCTCAGCGGTTCCTAGTCGCCGGTCACCAAAGGAGAACTGGAGAAGAGGAGGAGCGACGGGGGTTTCTTCCTGGTCGGCAGCCGCTGGGAATTTTGTAGTTATTTATCCTTATCCAAATTTTTTTCGTTATTTTTTTTTGTTAATTATTATTGTTATTAGAAAAAGAAATAAATTAAAGAAATTGCAAATACAACTTTTTTATTTCATGTTTACTGATGTGGCAATTGACTTGGCGCTTGACTAACGGTCAATGGAGTTGATCATCCAACTTGACTATCAAAATTTTGCGTTGGGCCAAGCAAAAAAGTATGGTGCATAGTTCAGGCCAGAGGAGCAATTTCAGAAACAGCAGACCAAAGTAAAATTTTTTGATATAATTTGTGCCAAAATAAGGTATTAACCCTAATAATTTTAGCATCTTCAACCACATACTTTTCAAGAATCAACATTCCAGATGAGACGAGTAGCAAACATCACTTCAAGCCACACGGACTTTCAGATGAATTTTCCAGCAGTAGCAGTCGAGCTTAGCCACACGGACTTTCAGATGAATTTTCCAGCAGTAGCAGTCGAGCCGCAGCGAAGCGCGGCTTCTCCTGCTCTAGTGACCTTATAAGACTACACTAGACACACTCGTGATAGCAGGGGAAAACCTCCTTTGGCAATGTGAATTTGAAGTAGAGAACCCTAATGGTGGCAATCTTTCGGATTTGTCATCGACGGCCATTGGTGGGTGAGGAAACTTGGTTTGCCAAGATGTGAACATAATTGCTCTGTTCCAGCCGTATGTTCGCATTTGTACTTTTCTTGATCTGAACAGTAGCGATTTTTATCTGTATTTTTCTTCGTGGATTCATCAGACATCAACTAACCTCCATTTGAAATGCTTTTAGTGGCCCGTTTCTAAGAACTAAGTTCTTGTATGAAATCTTAGGTTTCTCCGGCTCCAAATTCTTTGGGGTGGCTAGCTCATCTTTGTTCCTGCAATTAAAAAGAGTTTTCGTTTTGACATCCTTATCTTCGGCTCTTGTTGTCACAATTGCTAATTTAATCCATTTTTTTAAAGATTTATGCATATATATTTATGTAGATCGAAGTAAATAAGGAGAAGCTAACAAGATATCAACAATGTGAAAGTAATAATCCATCAATTGCACATATTAAAACGTTTACAGATAATAAAATCAATGTAGAAGTTCAATTCATGGCCACTATATTAGGCCTTCAATCATTAGTATAGTCGAAATGATACCACGAACAAGTTACACCCTCTCATCTTACAAATAGAATTTGCCTAAACAGGAAAAAAAAAAAAAGAATCTAGTTTGATTTCAACCCTACTTCATTACTTCTCAGAATTATCTGTTTCCACAATTTAGATAGTTATCCCGGAAATAATATTTACATAATTCTTCCAATAACTATTTTATTACCAATTTCGGATGATTAAAACAAACTTTAGTTTTACTAATCCGAAACAAAGAGCCGAATCTAGCTTTTCCGAAACAGCCACGGTCACTTCCATAACTATAAATATTGAATGCCACAGGACAAAGTCAACTTCGATCGCGGCACTCAGCAAGAAATCGGAAACTTGGGTCGGCAGAACAATTTCCACTACGAGAGAGCGCTTTCCTCTTCGAAACGGAAAATTTGTGCTTTCGAAGTTAATTAATGTTTGTCAGTAATGTTGATAGTATCGATTCTTCTCAATTCCTGTAAAATCGAAACAATTTATATTATCAAAGGATTGTGAGTTTGTGACGGTTCATAACTTCATATGCAACTCTGCGCCCCCGCGGCGACATTTACCCTAATGGCAATGGGTGACGTTCATGAGGGTCGACCAACATATTCTTAACGTCTGTTTTAGGTCATTGCTGAATGAACCCTATATCCATTCTTCAACTATTTCCCCCATCGATGTGATCTCAATCGAAATAAGCTGTGGTATGGTTGTTGATGGCGTAGTTTTTTTCTTCTTCTAAGAATACCATAAGGAGTTTGATTTCTATTTATGGTGACATGCTAACTTATTAGTTGATAACTTTGATTTATCCATTAGGTGGTCAGCATAGTGACATTACGTGGAATGTTTCACAAGGTACCTAGTAAGTATGTCCAATTCCACCTTAATTGATAATTTGATATATTTGTGGAGAAAACCTAATGGCCAGAATATTCAAGTCCAATTGAATCCACAATATATAAGAAAATCACTTCAAAATCAATATAACCTAAAAACTCACGACCTTCTCGAAAATTACCTAAGTTTAATGATCTCGAGTTCTCGACTTCCATATAATCCGATTCGATATACTTATCACTAAGAACAATTGAACGAATCTAGTTTTTTATGGTAGATTAGACCTTTCGAATTTCGATTCCTATGTGCGCATTAAACATCATATGTATGTTAAGTTTGCGCCTAAATTTAATTCATAATGTAAGTCATTGATAGCATTTCAAAACATCTAGTAATGTAAGTTTATTTTTATCAACTATATATACATACACGAGTATATTAATCATTGGGATAATCTTTGCATATGTAGAGTGTTGAACATAATTCAATTTACGATGCACATCATTTAGAGTCATCCAGTTAGATCAACCATGCGCATGAATATAAAGATTTTGAATCTATCGTGTTAACACCAAACTTGTTTCACTACGATCCTCTTCATTTATGATTGATAGCATCCCAAAAAAATCTTCAGTCGTGCATAGCTACTACTTAAATACAGTGGCGGATCCAGAACACAGAAAAGCACTGGACCGCATTTTATTAGAAAATTAGAACCATAAAAAAATTAATGATTATAGTTTTTTTACAATGTAAATTATACACGACGGTATCTTAATTTAGCAAATGCATCAATAATGTAGTCCACATCCATACCAATAGTATACACTGTCCCAAATAAAATACTTGGGCAATTGGCAAGAAATTCATCGCTTATTTATTGTGCAAATCAGTTTTACATGTTTCTTTGTTCAAAAGGTTCTCTCGGGTTCTCTCTATAGTAGTTGTTGAAACGAGGAGCGTCAACGCTAGACAAATCAATATCAATTTGCATTTTGTGTCCATCCCTATACCACCAGTTGTCTAGTAAATTTTCAAGGTAACAAACCTCATATTTCTTTTAGTCTATTATGCTTTAGAATTTTAGGTTTCATTGTTAATTTTAGACGAAAAATCTTTGGGGCTAAAATTTCTAGGCTAAATTTAGAGTAGTGATTTGAATATATTCATCTAAATCAATTTGCTAATTATATATAATTTTATTATAAAATAACATTGAGCCGAATACCTAAAATCAAAAAATTTATATGGCCTATACTAACTATGGATCCAGAGGAGGGCTGAGCCGGGGCCTGGGTGGCCACCTCTGGATCCGCCACTGCTAAAAACTACATAATTTCTTGTTGAAGCCTGAATCGATCTCAGATTGCCAGATTGCTGATGTCATGCCAACAAAGTCCAAATATTAACTTAGTCAAAACTGTGTCATTTGATTAATTTTAATTTCAATTGAATTCTCAATTTTTTATTCGGGTCACTTGGGCTAATGGTTGTCATGTCGGTAGCATGCCGATCGGTTGAATCTGGTTCAACCGGGATCGGTCATGAAACCGACACCAACACTACCAGTATGAACGGTATAATCGATTTACGAACTCTAAGTGAAATGACGTTGTTTTAGTAATTATAATTAATAAAAATAAATTTATTACATATTTTATGAATATAAAAGTTAAAATTTGAAGCAATTTGTTGTATTCAAGTATACACGTTTAAGTATTGACGTTAAATGTTGTAGTTAAATATGTGTATTTGTTATTTATTTAAATAACGTATTTTAGTAAGCCGGCATGAACCGGCACAAATTGATTGCACCACTGGTCATACCATTCCACTCGCTAAACCGACGCAACGGTATAAACCTGTTTGACAACCTTGCTTGGACTTGTTCGTGGAATAGGATTAGTTGTTAGGTTAGCATTCTAAGTCAGTAACTCAAGGATCAAATTAGTTAGTCATTTCAGATATTTGTTAAGGTCATGGGAGTTAGAAATTAGTAGTGGAAGCCGAGATTGATGGCTTGAGTAATGTGCTTATAGTTCAAACTTATTCTTCAAATGTAAAATAGAATTTTTCAATTTGTCCCAATATTCAGCTTTTAGTTACGCACATAAATTCAACACGCATTCTCTCTCCAAATCATCTGCCTATATAAACTTAAAATATATTGCATAAATAAAACACAGCATTATTTACCCAAAAAAAAAGAAGAAGTAGAAGAAAGAAACATAACAATATTCTCTTCAGCCGAAATGTGCATCCGAGTTTTCTCCCTTCTTCTTCTGGCAGTCCTGATGTCGTCAGGAATTGGCCTCGCCGCCGCCGCCGGACTGGCCACCTTTGTATTCGGCGACTCCTTGCTAGATCCTGGAAATAACAATTACATTCCTACCATCTCAAGGGCAAATTACATTCCTAATGGTATTGATTTTGGCGGTCCCACCGGTCGATTCACCAACGGTAGAACCATCATTGACATTCTAGGTACGTAGCTAAACTCTTTCATATTGTGAAGACTGCTACACTAGCAATTTTGTTAAAAATGCCCATATGCGTCTTTTGAGAACGTGCTCGCAAACATCTGTAGTCGTTCCATCGTGTGCGCGGGAAATGGAAATCACCGCACACACGATCCAACGACTCTGAATGTTTGGAAACACGTTCTCATAAAAACACCTTTAATTGCACTGCGCTAGCTACGTACCCTTTTCATTTTCTTGTCGTGTTTCTGGAAAAAAAAAAAACTAAAACTAAAACTTACAGGTGAGAAATTGAGTGGAGGGTTTTTGACTCCTCCTTATATGGCTCCCGATACCAAGTGGCCGGGGATTCTCAAGGGCGTCAACTACGCTTCCGGCGCCGCCGGGATCCTCAATGAGACCGGAAGGATTTTTGTAAGTAGGAAAAAATAATTTCATTATGTTACCTTTCTCGTAAAAAAAAATTCATGGTAATACTGAAATTTGCTCATTTGTGTATTCACATAATGTTTTATCGTCATTTGGAGACTATTTTTATATCACTTCAAAATTCTAAGTACTAATGTCGAATGAAATGATAAAATTATGAGCAGGGCGCAAGGATCAATATGGACGCTCAAATTGACAACTTTGCCAACACGAGGCACGACATCATATCGAGAATCGGCCCAGTCAAGACTCAACAATTCTTCAACAAGGCAATTTTTGCCGTCTCGATTGGATCAAACGACTTTCTCGACAACTATCTGCTGCCTCTGTTCGACAAACCAAAACCTCCCAAAGTGTTCATCGCCTCCTTGATCCAGAGGTTCAAACTCCAACTCACAGTAAGTAGTTTCTACGAACATGTGCTTGCTCAATCCTCATCATCCGAGCCGAACCGGTGTACTATACGAAAAAAATGAAAATTGAAACGAAAATCCTTTTTTTTCTCTTTTTTTCTTGGGCAGAGGTTGTACAAATTGGGTGCTCGGAAGATTGTTGTGGTGAACGTGGGTCCTATCGGGTGCATCCCATACCAGAGAGACGTGATGGACTCGGGGGACGAGTGCGCGAGTAAATCGAACGAGTTGGCTCAGTCGTTCAACACGAAGCTGAGGATACTCATTCGACAACTCAGTGGAGTATTCAAGGGAGCACAACTAGTTCACGCCGACGCTTACAGCATCGTCAACGACATCATCACCAACTACACTTCCTACGGCTTCGTGAATGCGTCCACGGCTTGCTGCCGCCTGCTAGGGTCGCGCCGAGTGCTGGGGTCGCAAGGCGGTCTGATCCCGTGCATCCCGCTCTCGACAGTCTGTCGGCGCCGGAACAAGTACGTCTTCTGGGATCCTTACCATCCGTCCGACGCTGCAAATGTGATCATAGCCGGACGGCTGCTGGACGGGGACCGTAAGATCATTCGGCCAATGAACATTCGCCACCTGGCTTCAATTTGAATGGAGGAAAGAGGGAAATTGGGTTTATGTCCTTTTTGGCTCTGACGGCCTCAGCTCACCATGATAGAGTTAGCAATGAATGTTGAATGGCATTGGTTACTCATGGATAGATAGCCTTCTTTGAATCAGTGAAAAGTAGTGAACAAGAGCCAATAAATTATATTTGATCCGTATTGAGGTCAAATTTTGAATTTGCTTTTTCCAGTTCGATTCATGATTGTTATATGACTTCGAGAGCGAGTGGTTGGTGGTGGTTAATTGCATTGGTCACATTCTCAATTTAACAACTATTTACTATTGCTATGGAGGTGATGTCATGCATTCTAAACAAGACAACAAAGTATAGCCGATCTTCCCTTTCACACTAGGTGTAAAATACTCATCTAGTGTTTGTAAATGACTTGCTGATCTTCTTTAATGGATTATCTAATTGAAAGTGTGTGCCACTTGCTGAAGAAGTTCTACCTGCTTTCTGGTTTAAGGTTTAATCTAGAAAAAGTCAACTTTTTGTGTTGGCATTACTGAGGTAGAACATGAGATCCTTACTTGAAGGGTTGACTTTCAAAAGGCTTTTTTTTTTTCCAGTGAGATACTAAGGAGTGCCACTAATATATGGAAGCAAAGTGTTGGGGAATGGAGTGCTTTTTATTTTTATTTTTTTTATCTTTGTTCTTATCTCTTCCTAAACTCCTCTGAAATTTCATGATAGTGCAATAGTTTGGACCTTTTTACTTTCCAGTACAAGTCTGCCTATGAAAATCAATCTTCTGGTATTTCTTAGAACTACGGTTTGATTGTTGGGGATTGAAGCTAGGCAAGTAGAAGATTTCAACTCAGATATAAGTCCATGGCAGAGGTCCTTAGAGTGATGAGAGAGAAAGTTAGAGAGAGAGAGAGTGGGGCCGCCGGGGGAGCGAAAGTGCGAGGGGCGAGCGTTTGGGGAGGGGCTCTGAGTTCACCTCATTCGTTTGGTTGTGATCGCAGGTTACAGGTCTTCAGGTCCAGTGGCGGCAGCGGTGACAGTAAGGAAGGATGTTCGCGAGAGTCGTGGTTTGGTCGCAGGCGGGTTTCAATTCTGAAAGAGGAAGCGGGCAAGGCCGTGTGGTATAGAATGCGGGTCGTAGAAGGATCTATGGGTTGGTCTATCCTTCTCAACGAAGGGCATCTGTCCTGGCTCCAAGGTGTTCTTCAGACAGCGGTTATGAAGGGGTGGCAGTTCCCAAGAGGCTGTGTCAAAAAGTGTGGCGACAGGCTGATTCACGTCGGAAAGAAAATTGTGGGCTCTAGTCCTTGCCTTCAGATCTCGGAGCAAGTGAAGAACGGCCGCTGCTTCAAGGTCTTCATCCCCCAGCCGGAGCAGGGGAGTGGTTGGGCTCAGTTAATTGCTCTGCTGCAGGACTTCTACCATTTTGAGAAACGGGGTTGCCGTCGATCTGAAGATTCCGCTTGCTGTCCCCCGCGCAATCTGGCTCCCATTGATTCGACGAGGAAGTCCTATGCTGAGGTCGTTAGGAGCAGGGGTTTTTATGGAGCGGGTCGTTGCAGCATCAGAGGTAACGGCGCAGACCGTTTCATTGATATTGAAGATGTTGGTGTGCCTGAGAGACGCGAGTTGCTGGGCAGAAGCCTGATCATTTCTTTCAAACCGACTGATGGAGATTGTTTCGTCCGCGACGATGTTCAGGATTTCAAGCGTTGGGCGAATAGGCAGTGGGCCACCGATGATAATTTCGACTGGCATTACTTCGACAACGGGAAGTGGCTTCTGTCGTGCCCAAGTGTCCAACACGCCGTTCGCATCAGAAGTTTCAATCAGTGCTCGTTCAAAAATTTCATCATCCTCATTTCGTTTTGGCCTGAAGAGGGTAAGGAGGACGGGACCGATGATTCTCGGTGGGTTATGGCTTTTGGGATCCCGCTCCACTTGAAGAGCATTGATCTTATCAACACGATTGGGAGTTTTTGTGGCAGGATGCTTGAGGTTGATTGGAACCACTGGTCCGCGGATTTCATTAGGATTCGTGTGAGGCTGTTCGGCGAGCCGCCGTCGACCATCCCCGTTCAATTCGCCGGGGAGCGTTTCTCGGTCAGGATTTTTACGGCGCCGCTTTCCGTCCAGAAAGGGAGTCCCATTCCGGAAGCCTCAGGTAGAGGGGAGTCGAACAGCCATGCATCGCGTAATGCTCCCATGCAGCCATTGCAGCGCCACCTGTTGCAGAGACCGAGGGCGATTCAATGGGTGGAAAACCCGAGGCGTGCCGACTCGCTTTCGGCGGGGGGGCCAGGGCACCAACAGCTGGCCGAAATCGACGATTGTATCGCAGTGATAAGGCGGAAGGAGAGGAAGATATGGATCAGGAAGTTCGGCCCTATCAACCGCCCTTATCTGGGCCTTCCGGGGCGTTCGGCTTGCGTGGAGAATGAATGGGCTTTATCCTGGCCTGGGCCCATTTCGCGTGCGCAGGGGGTAAGTGGGGATCTGTCAAGGCTCGTTTTTCGGTTGTTTTCAAGGCCTGAGCCCATTTTTAACCCTGCTGTGAACGAGCTGGGCTGGTTATGTTCGGTCATCATCACAGGGGATGGTCCCGCCACTTCCTTAGCCCCAATTCGCAATCTTAGCCCGCCGTTTTGCAAGATCTCCTTCGCCTTAATCAGTCCCAATTCCCGACCCAAAGTTTCCGACGCTCTTCCCTCTCCATCCTCATCCATTCTCAGTCAGTTTTCTGTCCACTCCCCTTCGTTGGATAGCCCGCCCTCATCTCCTGGGTCACAATCCTTGGCGATTTCCAGTTTTGGGGATTTTGACCTTCCTTCCCCCTCGTGCGTACCGGACAGCCAGACTAGGGTGAGAAGCCAAGACGATTTCCCTTTCGACGCCTCTACGCTCGTGGCTACCAGCATCGATTTGAGCAGGTTATTCAGGATTGAGTTGGAGGGCGGTGTGGATGAGGTGGAGAAAATTATCAAGAATAACGCGACGGAGTTGCACCAGAGGAAAGTCCGCCAGCCCAGGTCTAAACTCGAGATGGAAAGGCATAGATTAGGCCTGACTGACGCGCCGGGTCCAGGTGTTCGCAGAAGCCGTAGAAGGGAGGGGGATGATCCTGCCGATTCAGTTTAATGGAGTGCTCTGTGATTGTGTGGAATGTTAGGGGGGTGGGAGATGTCATGAAGAGAGCCAGGATTAAGCGTGTTTTGGGTATGAGGAAGCCGAAGATCGTTGGCATCGTTGAGACTAAGTGGAATGTTTGCAATGATGAGCTCATCAGGAGCATTAGCGGGAACAGGGACAGTGGATGGGCTGCTAAAAATGCGGAGAATAGCGCAGGCGGGATTGCAATTTACTGGGACAAGGAAGTCGTGAGGGTTCTCGCCTGCAGGGAGGGGAGCTTCAATCTGACTGTCGATTTTCAGGAGGTGAACTCCCTGAAGGTGTGGAGTCTTTCAGTCGTGTATGGGCCTCAAGAGAGGGAAGCTAAATTGGAATTCATCAATGAAATCCAATCTTTATGCCTGAATGCGGCCAACCCCCTTTGCATTGCAGGTGACTTCAACCTGGTTAGAGGGCACGAGGACTACAGGGGTGGGAGGCGCTGCACTATGCTGATGGAAAATTTTAACGATGCAATCGATTATAACCAGCTGTTGGAGCTCCCTCTTGGAGGTTGCAACTTCACGTGGGGTAGAGGGGATGGCTCAGGATCCCTTTCGCGTATTGACAGGGTCTTCATCAATGCGGCCTTTGATATCATGCATCCCGATTGCACGCTGACGGCTATGGAAAGGATTGAATCGGACCATAATCCTTTGTTGATTAAGTGGGGAAATACGATGAGGGTTCGAAGGCCTTGGAGGTTTCTGAATATGTGGTTGGAGGACCCGAGATTTTTCGAGGGGCTAGAAACGTGGATGAGGAACTCGGTGAGTGGTCACGGTAAAGCTTTCCTATGGGTGAGGAGGCTTCAAAATCTGAAACAGACCATTAGAGTGTGGAATAAAGAGGTCTTTGGCAACATCAACTTGAAGATTGAGGAGGCTCTTGGCCAAATTAATGGGCTGGACATGGTAGAGGAATCTCGCATATTATCCGACGCGGAACATGCTACTAGGCAGGATTTGAGAGCGGAGTTGAGCAGACTCTTATTTCTCCAAGAGACCCATTGGAGACAGTTGTCCAAAGAATTGTGGCTGAAGGGAGGAGACAACAACACTAGCTTCTTCCACAGGGTCGCTAATTACAAAAGAAAGCTTAATTTGATTGATTGCATCAACATCAATGGAGTTAGGCATGAAGGGAGGGAGCTTCTCGGCACAGGCATTGTGGGTTATTACCAGAATTTGTTCAAAGACCCTGTTTCGAGGCGGCCTTTTCCGAGGTCGCACACTGATAGGAGGATTGACGCCGCTGATATCGCTGACTTGACCTGTGTTTTTTCGGAAAAGGAGGTTTGGGTCAGTTTGGTGGACTGCGATGGGGGGAAGGCTCCCGGGCCGGACGGGTTTTCCTGGGAGTTTTACAAGAAGGCTTGGTCCCTCATTCGGGAGGAGTTCTTGAACGCCATTGCTGAATTCTATAATACAGGTTCTCTCCCCGAGTGTGCTACTCATTCTTTTCTCTGCCTTCTGCCGAAGCGTGATGCGGTGGAGGACATCAAGGACCTCCGTCCTATTAGCCTGATGAGCAGTCTGAATAAGATTATTAGTAAGGTTCTTGCCCGTCGCCTCAGCAATGTCCTTCCCAAGATTGTGTCTCATAATCAGCATGCTTCGGTCAGAGGAAGGCAGATTTCGGAGGCGGGTCTCATCGCTTTCGAACTATTGGACAGCCGCAGAAAAAGTCGCAAACCGGGACTTATGTTTAAGCTTGATATCGAAAAGGCTTTTGATAACGTGAGTTGGGACTGCTTGTTTAAGACTATGTCCTCTATCGGCTTTCCGGCTCAGTGGAATAAATGGATTAAGGGTACTATGTGTTCCCCGGTTATCTCTACTTTGATCAACGGTGAATCGAAAGGGTATTTCAAACCGCAGAAGGGGTTGCGTCAGGGCGATTCGCTTTCTCCTGGTTTGTTTATTCTCATTATGGACATCTTGTCTTTCATGTTGAAGAAATTGCAGGAGGATGGGAAGATTAGAGGCTTTTGCATGGACGAAGTGAATGGCAATGGGGAGGTCACTCATCTTCTGTTTG